CCCCTTCCTCCACCGCTGCACCCAACATCCCCACAGCCCTTCCCTAAGGCTAACATTTCTCTTTCTCTCTTTTTATCTCTCCCACCATACATCTAATCAAGTCGATTCTGGTCCATGAAACCTTGTTTTGTTTTGTTTTGTTTTGTTTTTTGTTTAGTGCAACAGACTAACACAACGATCTTTCTGGGAGAGGCTTATCGTTGAAATCTGTTAAAGGGGGCCAGAGCTTGGAAGAAGATCTGAAGGTAAAGACAAGAAACAGTACTTCTGAGTGGTGAGAGAGGCGTATGATCATGCATAGGAAATAAATCTTAGTTGATCAATCATGTGAGTTTTACTCAACTAAATAGCATACCTTGCAGACAAGGGGGGAAATGTACTTTTTCTTTTTTAAAAAATGACATTCAGGTGAGGGAAGTGTACAGCATAACATTCATCTTAGGAGAGGCATTCACTCCTTCAAGAGGAAGGAGGTTAGGCTGTATCCAATTTCTACTCAGAGAAAACCCACTGAAATTAATGGTCCTATGCTAGTCATGCCCATTAATTTCAGTGAGCAAAAGTAAGTTGGTTTTACAGCCCAAAGCCTTGAAACAGGTTTTGTAAGTAGTTCAGGGCTTGCTCTCTCTCTCTCTTTTTTTTTGCTTTCTTCAAAGAGAAGCCATTCCCAACATTTAGAGTTCCAAAGGTGGGTGGGAGGGATAGAAGAGTAATTACAAAAGAACATCTGCACAGTTGAAAAATTCAAGGCATGCAAAAATTCAGTTCTGCCAAGTGCATGCAAGCTGTTAGGTTAACAGAGCTACAAATGACTAATGGTGATGTGAGAAGAAGCCAGGAAGCTGCCTTGCACCATTGGCCAACCTAGCTCATGTATTCTTAATGCCAGAGGTGGGAACATGTGACCATCCAGGTGTAATCAGACTCCAAGTCACTGACCATTCTGGCTAGGGCTGATGTGAGGGCCACACGCTTCCAACCCCTGCTCAACAGTGAGCGGCAGTGGTCTTGCCAGGATTTCAGATGGGAGTCTTTCACAGCAATGCCTGGAGATATCAGGGATTGGCTCTGTGACCTTCTCCCTGCAATGCAGTGCTCTACTACCAAGACACAAACCTTTCCTCCAGGCTTCGCTACAACCTCAGACCCTGACCAGGCTTTCCCATTTCTCCTTCCCTGGCCCAAAACACCCTGCACCACCTGCTCTACATTGTTTTGCCTGAAGGCCTCCAATGCTGTGTTTCTGTTGCTCCCACTCTTTGGCAGGAAATAAACTGTTGCACACAGAACCCCTTTGTGAGAAGCTGAGTGCTAGTCTCTCCCAAGGAGAGGGGGTGGGGAACCATATGGGCAGGTGGGTGACTGAGCAGCTATTTATGCCTATTCCACCCCCTCCTCTTCATTGAGCTTCTACACACCCCATAACTCTACAGTGGCGCTCTCTCTCTCTCTCTCTCTCTCTCTCCCTTCGCAAGCCACCATTGCTGGGGGTTATCTAGGGATTTGTCTTGAGTGCAGGGAACCCAACTCCCCATTTTTGCTGATTTCACACTGTAGGGTTCTCCTGGCTTATTCATTATCTGTGTCTTTGGTCTCTTTGGCATTCAGTTAGGAAAGGAAAGGCAACTGAATGGCAACCTGAGGCATTATGGAACTAATGTCACACTTGAGTCCCAAGACTTCAAGGTTGCTGGTGTCTTTCTGGGGGTGCTTTTTGGCCTACATTGCTCACCTTGGACAGCAAGGCCTGGGTGCACATCATGTACCCAAAGCTCACACAGCAGGGAGGGTGAATTTACTCCCAAATCCTTGGCTGGGGAGCCATGGAATCGCCATCATTATTATTTTTAGATTTTAAGCATCTTTATTGAAAGTTCAAAAAGTGCATAATTATATGTGAGACATAAATAAAAGAGAGAAAAAGAGTAAGAGAAACAGAAGGGATAATAAAGCGGTGGGGGCGGGGGACCCAAAATGGTATATTTTACAAGGTTGTTATTGTACTCCACCACATCTAAACCTATTACAGTATTTGTAAGAATGGATTCGAAATATCATTGAATTTGTCTGTGGCAAGTCTGCATTTATATGCAAGTTGCTCATATGCTGCGAGTTTGTATAAATCTTCAACCACCATCATTTTTTTATTATCTGTACCGCACCCAATTGACTGGGTTGCCCCAGACACTCTGGGCGGCTTCCAGCATGCACAAGAACATAACAAAACATTAAACATTAAGAACTTCCCTATACAGGGCTGCCTTCAGATGTCTTCTAAAGGAATGTGGCTTCCACATGCCCAGGGGGTTTGAGGGATGCTTCCCTCCTGGATGTTAATTCAAACTCACCTGCCTGTACTTGCATACTTTGGTTATTTATTACCAGGTGTTTTGTTTTGATCCATTTCGTTCCGTTTCATAAATGGGGCATTTCCACCATTGCATATCTCTTTCAGAGTGTGTTGGCAATGCACCCATCCTCCCCCCATGTTTAAAATACCGTATTTTTCACTCTATAAGATGCACCAGACCACAAGACGCACCTAGTTTTTGGAGGAGGAAAACAAGAAAAAAAATATTCTGAATCCCAGAAGCCAGAACAGCAAGAGGGATCGATGCGCAGTGAAATCCCTCTTGCTGTTCTGGCTTCTGGGATAGCTGCGCAGCCTGCATTCGCTCCATAAGACGCACACACATTTCCTCTTACTTTTTAGGAGGGAAAAAGTGAGTCTTATAGAGCAAAAAATATGGTAAATAAATAGATCCCCTCACTCAGGGTTTTGTAGGAGCTCATGATCCCACTTGGGTAAAGCTTCAATACAACACTCATCTTCATTAGAGCCATCAGGAGTGGATGTCCTCGCCTTCTGTGTGGATTTCCAAATGTTATGGAATGAGACTCCAAGCAACAGAGTACATGCCTACACTTTACATAGTGCTACAGTTCCTAGGGAACTTACTGGCTAACGGGGACTGACCTGCTTCTCAGTGTTATTATTTGGAGGTTCGCGTCCAACCTCAGTAGCCAAGTTTCATTGCTGGGAGGTGGGGCCAGTCCCAATTATATATATATAGGGGGTGGAGCCGACAGTAGCCAGGCAGTCGGCTCTGGAGATCACCCTCCAACCCCTCCTTTAGTTTAATGTTTTCTTGTTTGCAGGTTAACTTTTTCTTCCTGTTTAGCAGGCGCTGCTACGGTCTTTGACTGGTTGCTGTTGAAGGACCGGGAAGAAATTTTCCTGCATTGGCAGGTTTTGTCTTCCCCGTAGCAATTTGTCACAACTTTGGCGGTTTATGGCCTTGGGTGGAATCCTTTAGCCCTTTCTTCCCTATAATGGGAGGGGGGATGTGAAGTGGTGACTCCCCCCCCCGCCCACGGCATCAATTCCAGGGTCCCCTCTTCAAAGGGGTTATATAATGGGTGTCACTGGCCATACACCAAAAGGCTGTCAGTGAACTACTCTGCATGCAGGGATATGGGCTGCGCTGCCTGCTACACATATGTCTCGTAGTGCACCCCCATATCCCATTTACCCTGATGTTCCCCCGGCTGGGGGGGTGGGGGGGGGTAAACGCCCAAGGCCTAAGCCAAGGTCTTCCTACATTCAGAAGTTTAATAAAGTTGTGGCCTAATTTATTTATTTTTTTAAATGATATTTATTAGAAGTTTAATAGTTACAAAAAAAGGAAAAAAAGAAAGACAATAAAAAGTTACAATACATCAAAAATAAAAAGAAAAACAGAAAACAATACAACAAAACAATAAAACAACAAAAACACTTAAAAACACATCCAATATTTCCGTATCTTTACCTTTCATTTACTTGTTTCATCGACCTCCTCACACCTCCCTTTTTTGTATTCTAGTTCAATTAGCTATTTCAGCAAATCCTTAAGTTGTGGCCTGATTTAATTCCCTAACACGTTGTCAGAGTCTTTATTACTTCCTTATGATCCCTGGGGGCTGGGGCTGTCGCGGCCTGGTCACACAATTACGATCACACACAACTGGACTGTGCCAAAACTTCCCTCTCTAAAAGCCCTGTGTATTTGCATTAAGTCTTCCCGCATGCTCCCTCACTGAGCTATCACATACCCTCCAACCTTTCTCCAAAGAAAATAGGGCATCCTATTCCATAATAATGATTATTATACAGTGGTGCCCCGCAAGACGAATGCCTCGTAAGACGGAAAACCCGCTAGACGAAAGGGTTTTCCATTTTTGAGTTGCTTCGCAAGACGATTTTCCCTATGGGCTTGCTTCGCAAGACGAAACGTCTTGCTAGTCTTGCGTTTTTTCCCCCGCTTCCCCCCCTTTTTCTAAGCCGCTAAGCCGCTAATAGCCTTTTAGCAGCTAAGCCGCTAAGCCTTTAATAGCCACTAAGCCGCTAAACCGCTAATAGCGCTAATCCGCTAAGCCGCTAATAGGGTTGCTTCGCAAGACGAAAAAACCGCTAGACGAAGAGAATCGCGGAATGGATTCTTTTCGTCTTGCGAGGCACCACTGTAATTTTATTATTTATACCCTGCCCATCTGACTGGGTTGTCCCAGCCACTCTGGGTAGCTTCCAACATATATAAAAATACAATAAAGCATTAAACGTTAAAAATCTTCCCTGGGGGGCATTGGGACTGGGAGGGCAGAAGAAAGGAAGCCCACCAGTAGCCCTCCCTATTTGTAGGGAGATTAGGCAATAGACTAACATTTCATAGAATTATGAGAGAATGTTGTCTGTTTCATGACCATTCATTCTGAGGTTTGATGTTGCAGCTTCAAAGCATGTATTGCATGTTGAATAGGAGAAATTCACACCAAAATGCTGATAATTGTTTCATGAGGATTTCTTCCCCCTTCCAAGCACATGCGCGTGCGCGCACACACACACACACACACACTGCAGCAAAAATGTGGAGAACTGGATCAGGGATCAGAAAAATACAAAACCAAGAGAAGCAAAATGGACCGATCCATCGGTCCCTAGTATGAAATGAGGGACTTACTTGGTTGGTCGATAATCTGGTATGGTACGGTCCAGTGATATTTTCTCACTGAGGTAGGAATTGTAGCCATATTTCTCATGTGGTCCCTTGGCTTTCTCTTCCTCCTCAGGGGAAAGCGTGGCAGGAAGCCCTCCTTTCCCACGGCCACCATAGCCTTCAATGAGCCCCAGTGATTTGGACAGACCTGGAGAGAGAGAAACAGGATCAGTTTTCAAAAATGGGAGTCAACCGTTGCTTCTTTATCCCAGAATCAAAGATGTAACCCAGGCGTTGCTAAACCTTCTGGGCCTGTGAACACATTTCATCTTTTTTGAGTGAGTGTGTGTTGGGATTCCCACTCCTTCCCCTGGTAATTTCTGTCCCTCACCTTTCCCCAGATCAGCTGTCCCTGATTCACACACACATTTACTTCACTTTTCCAAGTGATTAGGGTAAAAGCAATATCCAACAGAATTAATCTGAGCTTTGAAAAACACAAAGAACTGAAAGAAGGAAGAAGAAATGGTACACCCTCTCTAGGGATGTAAGAAGATTTCATTTTCTTTTCCACCTTGCATTCGTCACACACAGCATTGTTTCTGTTCCACTGCAGTTCTTCCACCAACACCTGCATGATTCACCACCACCACCACCATCGTCATTTCTATGCTGCCTTTCCATAGGTAAAGTTCTGCTCAAAGTGGCTTACAACTTATACCTTTTTAATTACAAACATAACAAAAAGCAGCCATGAACAATAAATAAAATGCATTAAAAAGTTCACAACCAAATTGAGGGATTTCCACATACATCATAAGATCTAAAAGTAAACATAAAAAAATTGGATCAACAGCAGGAATGAAACTCCCTAAACAGTACCCCAACTCCAGCAGCCTCAGCTTTTGTAGCTGGAGTCAGTCGGGGCCCTGCCCTCCCGGAGCACTGGAAGCCAAAAGAGAGAAATCTCCCAGCTGCACCCTGCTTTTAATGGGCAGGCCACACCCCCTGACCAACCGGATTGGCCAGCCCGGCCAGTGACGCAGCCGGGAAACCCCAATCATGCAGGTCTGGCCTCTGCGCACATGGAGGGGTCATGAGAGCCCGCAACACCAGCTCCTCTTAAGGTGGAAGTGGCCTTGCTGTCTGCTGTGGAAAAATTATTTGACCTATGTAAGCTACTGACCGAATATGAAGATTTATATATGTACCACGGAGCTATAAGTGCCTGAACCCTGTTGAATGACTGAGCCCATATGTCTGGGCTGAAGTTAATTTTGCAGTGGCACAACGGAACAGGAACAGGAACTTGGGGACAATCAATGAAGCTGAATGCTTGAAAAGTCAGAAGAGGAGTACTTCTTGCAGGACATATTATAATTGTGGAATTTGCTCTCACAAGAGGGAGACAAGCATCAATTGAATGGCTTTAAAGAGGTTTAGACAAATTCATGGAAGATCTGGCTATAGGTTGTTTTGAATTAAGTCCTAAGGCTGAGCGATGTCCAGTTTTCAGCATCAGTGATATACTGATATAGCACAATGTCTGAAATAAGGATGGAACTATGGAGAGGTGAACTGGGTAATGTCCTGGCAAATGCTACTCATTAGGAGACACACTTTTACTTACCCAGTTTAACATATTGTTGCACCTGTTGTTTTATAGAACAGAGCAAAAAGGGTGGTAGAAGTCAGGAGAGACGCGATGGCCAGCTTCATCATTTATCCCACATCACAATTTTTTTACATAGCACACACACGCACATTGTGATTCACGATACATTGCCATGCCCAATATTATGAAAATGTTACCACAACCTGGACCCATTTTGGATGATGTCTCAATACATCACCCATCGCCCTATTAGAGTAGACCAGGGGTCTGCAACCTTTAAGACAAAAAGAGCCACTTGGACCCGTTTCCAAAGAAAAAACAACAACTGGGAGCTGCAAAACCATTGCGACATTTAAAACAAATATATCTCCGGAGCCGCGATCTGACAGCGGGCGGGAAGGTGACGTCAGGACGGTGCGTGACTAATGCACGCACCGCCCCCATGCGACGTCACAGCCAGTACAGCGCCAGCCACAGTGAGGAGTGTCGGGGCGCACAATGCGCCTCCTCCCCTCGCTAGTATCCGCCCCGGAGCCGCGGCAAAGATGTAAAAGAGCCACATGAGGCTCCGGAGCCGCGGGTTGCAGACCCCTGGAGTAGACCCTAAGTCACTCCTTTCTATTAACTTCAATGTTTAGGGGTAATGTTGAATTCCACCCTGGGTTTCTGCCTCCCCTGTGTGAGGCAGTATGCTGTTCGGGTTCTGCTTTTGAGCTTAGCATAGACACCTGCTTAGCCACTCTGAGCACAGGATGCTGAGATAGATGGCTCCCTGGCCTGATCCTGCAGGGCTCTAATAATAATAATAATAATTTATTTATACCCCGCCCATCTGGCTGGGCTTCCCCAGCCACTCTGGGCAGCTTCCAACAAAATATTAAAATACAATAATGCATCAAACATTAAAATTTTCCCTAAACAGGGCTGCTTTCAGATGTCTTCTAAAAGTCTGGTAGTAATTGTTCTTTTTGACATCTGGTGGGAGGGCGTTCCACAGGGCGGGTGCCACTACCGAGAAGGCCCTCTGCCTGGTTCCCTGTAACTTGGCTTCTCGCAGTGAGGGAACCACCAGAAGGCCCTCGGCACTGGACCTCTTATGTTCTTACCTTTATCAGATTCCTCCACTCCACCCCCATCTATTATTGGTATCATGATTTAGCTACTTCCCACTGCTTTGCTGAAAAGGGACTAATTCAGAGAAAGGGAGGAATTGCCAAGTAAATACCTATCTTTTCAGTGAATGAATCATAGGATTCTAGAGTTGGAAGGGACTTCGGGGATTATCTAGCCCCAATCCCCAGCAATGCAGGAATCACAGCTATGCCATCTCTGGCAGATGGCCATCCAAGCTCTGTTTAAAAACCTCCAAAGGAGAGTTCACCACCTTCCCAAGGTAGTTCGTTCCACTGAGCTAAAATGAATGCAGATATAATGGCCAATTTAAGCTTTCAAACAAATAAATAGGACACAGCATGCACAATACACAAGCCTTGGACTTTCTGCAACACAAAGTGCTTTTTGCTCCACTCTCTTTAAGGAAAGAGCCAAGGGGCAAGAGCGAGTGTCAAAGAAAGAAAAGCCAAGCACATTAAGAAGGGATGGAAAGACAAAGTAATATTTTATGACATGCTTCACTGTGCATTATAGAGAGCAGTAGCACCTGACATTTTTACATTTATTTTTAGGAGAGATTCACACCTCCCTCATTGTCAGGCACTACTGAGCACTTTGATGGATGATTTTTATTCTTAGCGGTGATATTTATTTTCCCATCGCTTCGGCTGAGGGACCCTGCGACCCCTCCAGGCAGGCCTTTTGTGTCGTTCCTTTATTTCGACAGGAGGTGAACAAGAAACAAAAGAGCGCAATGCCACAAGATCTGGATTCATGCGCTCCCCAATGTGATGTTGCAATGGTGTTCTCTTCCTTCAAGGCACTGTGTGTGAGAAAGGGGTGGGGGGAGGCAATGTCAGGGACGCTATGTTCACCAATTAAATATGGTTAGAATGCAATCAGTTTCCATACTTAAAAACAAACCGTCCAAATCATCTTCAAGTATATTCTTCTTACCCAAACCTCCAGTTTAGGCCTTCAACTCAAAAACGGGCATTCTGGGGGTTTGGTGTGGGAGAGACTTATACCTATTGCAATCCCTGTTTGGCTCAGTAATATGATGACCCGCTGGTGGAGGAAGAGGGGGGCGGGGGAAGCACCCCCCCCAGTGCAATCCCAGTGGGGTGCCATCGCGGATGCCCACCGTCTGCACTGAGTGCCACGCCCCCAGGACACGTGCCACACCCCCAGGATGCGCACCAGCCATGCCCCCCAGTGCCTGCTCTCCGCCACTGTGATGGTCTAGGGCCCAATCTTTAAAACATTGGTCCACATGCATCTGCCAGCTGAGCTAGCAGCAGCCCCTCCCAGAGGCTCCTTAAGAGATCTTGCAACATGTTCCAATAGTCATGGATCAATCGGTTGCCTTACACAGCAATTCCAGCTCCTGGAATCCGTGAAATAAGTTCAATGCATCATAAAGCCAGTCCACTCCTATCAGGAAAAGTTCCACTGCACCACACTCCTTTCCAGGTCATTTCCTCCCCATCCCACATCTCAAAAGGCACCCAGAGCCATTGTCACAAAAACTTAAGTGTTCTCAGGTGAGATGCAACCATTTGGATATGTGCATTCCCATTCTGCCCCAGCCCTGCACGTCATCCCACTCGCCACGCTCCCCGTTGCCAGATCAGCCTGTCAGAAGAGATTCACTAAGGCAGTCAAAGTGTCACTTTGTTTTAAAGTGTATGCAACGGCAGATCCGCAAAATGTAGACAGGTGCTCTTGGTGGGAGGAATACATTAAGTGCCCGGCATCAAGATTGGAAAAGACAATGTGACTCCACAGTGATTGAAAAGTTGTCTTTGAAATACCTGGCCTTGGAAAAGGAGGAATCAATCCTAAGGCTTCCCTGAAGGAAAATACCTTGATTCATTCGAGTATATAGTGGTTGATGGGTACTTCAATCCCTCCCAAGCCAGCTCACCTTGAAAACTAGGGAGCTTCTGCAAATGGGATTCTTGAAAAAGCTTGAACTCTCAAGGCACCTCTCAAGGATTTGCAAGGAAAATGAGAAAAAACATAAAGGGTTTCAGGCTCCTTCCTCTGCCACACTCCCCCACCAGTAAAGAAACAAAAGGAAGACTCTTGTGGTTTCAAACAGAGAGGAGTCACTAGCAACAATGTGGACTGACAATGCTGAAATTGGCTAATAATAATAATAATAATATATTTATATGCCATCCATCTGGCAGGGTTGTCCCAGCTACTCTAGGCTACTACATTCTAAGCCATGGATGGGCAAACTAAGGCCCGGGGGCTGGATCTGGCCCAATCGCCTTCTAAATCCGGCCCATGGACGGTCTGGGAATTGACGTGTTTTTACATGAATGTGTGCTTTTATTTAAAATGCATCTCTGGGTTACTTGTGGGGCATAGGAATTCATTCATTTTTCCCCTTCAAAATATAGTCCGGCCCCCCACAAGGTCTGAGGGACAGTGGACCGGCCCCCTGCTGAAAATCTAAGCCTACTACAAAA